TATGTATTATTTTCTCTCTATCAGTTGGAAAATGCACATTAACGAAATTCACAACTGAATGCATGATTCATTAAAAATATTAATTTTGCAGCTAAGTGTCGATTATGAGTAATACATTTTAAATCTTGTTAATGCAGTTGTTATTTGCTGGTAATAACACTCGCAAAACGTAAATTGAGAAAGTTATTATCCTAATTGAATATGGTCTATAAATTTTATGGACTTCTGTTCGTTCAAAAATGAAGATTCTTTTTATTTTGCCTCACACTAACAGCAAAAAGAAGATCTTTTGTAACTTTCTTGAGAAATGTTTATTAAACAAGAAGAAAATTAAAAAATACTATTTTCTAAGCAAGAGCTTATTTTATAGGAAACAGCATTTTTTTCTTTTTTTAAACATATAAATTCATTGTGAAACTTCAGAACATTTTCGATTAATTTACGAAATTATTTTAAGGATGCATTATTACCTATTAACAGCTTTCGGGAAACGAAATGCAACTAAAAATTCAATTTTTGGAAGATTTGGAGAAAAGATGAATAGAGGGTTTAATTTTAAGGCAACTCATATAAACTGTATCTAAAATTCTTAGGAATAAATCTGTGCTATCAATTGCAGTGTGGAAATAAATGAAAAAGCGGTGAATTTCTCGAGTTTATAATATTTTGGTATATTATCTCGTTAGTTTGAAATTCCAGCTTGAATTTTTAGACTTCTCGTGATATTTAAAATACAATCTATTACGGGAATGAATTTTCAATCAATACAGATAAAGACAGTTAACTCAGTAAAATTTTTTTTCCTCCAAAGGGAGAAAATTGACAGAAATTACAAAATCGAAGGGAAAATTAAGCTAGAATAAGGCTAGATAATTCAAATAATAATAAAGGAAACTTTCAAATAAGAGCTTAAATTATGTGCGAAATTGTATAGTTAATGCTGTTAGTACACTGGCTACTGTTACGAGAAAGAATGAGGTATAAGAGATAGAAAGATGTAGAAATATGGTAATAAGCTGATAAAAGTGTTTTGATAAAATGGTATTTTCTCAGTTATTAAATTGTAGAGTTACTAGGTTTTTGTTTTCAAGCAGGAGACATAAAAAATGTGCAATGGCCTCGTCGGGGTTCAAGCCCTGAACTTCTCGAATACGCATCGAGTATGCTTCCATTTACACCATGAAGGGACGCGGAAAGGAGGTAGAAAATACCTTATTAAGTTTTCCGGAAAAATGAATTTTTCTAAAAGACTATTCATATTTTCTTCTTAGAAACATTATGGTGAGTTTTTTCCTTTCCTTAATTAACTTTCGTTAAAATATAAAACTAAAAGAAATGATGATAGGGAATTTCTGTTTTCCAGGTTTTATAATCATAATAATTATATCCGCATTTGAGTTTCTTTCTATGAATCATTTTATGTTGTAAAATTTAAGAACAGGCAAATAAAACGACGTTTTCAACAAGCAGATTATATGGGTATGAATAACTTCCTTGAAACATTTAAAAGTAGTCCCATCCAGATTCACATTTCAGATATGAGCATGAGATTTTCTCATCCTTTTTGCTTTCATGAAGATGTTATGCAATAACACACGGAAAATTCAAATAATTTCTTATCGTGAATAGCTATGAAACAAATGTGGAACGAAATATTGCAGATATCCTATATAAGTTGAAACAAATAGCAATGAAACATAAATAACTAGAAGAGAAACTTAAGATTTCATTTAATGGTGTTCTATTCTTCAAATTTGCATAGCTCATTACTTTACTAGCTACTTTTTCTAGATAAAATATCGGATAAGTTTTAAAACAATTATGCCTAACTAATATCTCTTATATTATAGTTAATCAATGCTATGTTAAAACGAATACATAAGCAGAGTTTAGAGCAATACTGCATAAAGTGAACAGTTCGTCAGACATGATAGCATCTAGAAACATTAGCTTGCGATGATAAAATTTCTGAAAAATCTTCAAGCAAGAATATCAGCTAAAAGAACAAAATCTCACATGCGGTTTTTCAAGCTAAAATTTCGAAGCGTGATTTAATCTTTAGATAAAATATTGAATTTTTCTTTGAAGCACATGTAGTACAAAATATTTGCTATCCATGAAATGTTAAAAACTTTTTTGACATCATTAACAGAAATTAGATTTCAGGGTAATATTACGCAGCATATATCAGGTTTTAAAATATAACCTCGTTTGATTGCTTCAAGTGCATTAATATGCGTTACACTTTTCTTTGGTCTTGAATTTAGTGAAACGGAAATATTAGGTTTGCTAGGATAAAACTTTATTCTCCTTGCACGAAAACAGACATTATATTCGACATTAAATTCTGATTTTGTATAAAACATTAGGCGAACTATCGACCCTTTTTAGACTGTAAAGTGAAGTAAATATAACTCAGAGGAAGATTTAGAATAAATCTTTTTATTATAACTTTAAGTGAGCAAATACACAGCTCATGATTAAGAGAGGCAGTCACCGCTGCTTGCGGGATTTAAACTAACATAATGTGTTAAAGTTAAATTTAAGTGATTAATGTTGGAATTCGCAATAAAAAAGTCTTAAAATAAGTTTTGTCTCAAGCCTTAAAATACCCGATCAACATGGCTAGAAAAAGACTAGGTAATTCCAACAGCTGGGTGAGGAATAGTGTGAAGGTCAGCATCCCTGCTGAAAACTCAGTCACTAACTTCAAGAATTTTGGTATTACATACACGCTAACTAATTCGCAACCTGGTGGGAGCGGGCGGAAATAAACATAAAACCTTACACACTTTCCAATTCTGTCATTAATATCAAATAAAATTTTCTTATATCCTGTAGATAAGACTTATAAAGAGCATATGGTAAAATTTCACAGTTTATATAGTATATATATATATATACACATTTCAAGGCACCATGATAAGTTTAGCTTTCAAGCCCTCGTGTTTATATCATATATTTCACTGATAAACGTGTAAATGTTTGCTCAAACGAAGGGTCTTCAAATGGCATCCCGAAAACAGACAACTAGGAGACTCTAGAATGTACTCTCAATAGAATTACAGTATCGTTCTGAAATAAAAAAAAAAAAGACTTTATTGAAAAATATTATGACTGTAGTTAATTTTAATGAAAAGGCTAAATGATAACGTCATAAAAGTTTTAGCGTTTTAAAAAACAAATTTCGTAGATTATTTTAGAAGTCAAACAACAAAACTCAGCGTTCGACTTCTAAAATAATACTTGTTCGGCGTGTTATTGTAGTTTAATTAAACTTCGCAGATGCTTATAAAACAGAGTAATACTGAAAGTTTCTATACTTGTATAAAAACCTATTACTCTGTAAGGATTATGTTAATTTTATTAACAGTTAAATTTTAAGTTAAAGTTCCTTTCCTGTCAAATTCTTAACTTCAACTTACTACTTCCGGCCAGAACGTAGTTTTGGGATTTGCTGAATATTTAATGAGGAGCGCTACTTACTGAGTCAGAGAGATTCAGAGTTTCTGATTTACGCGCGTCTGCCTTTTTGGCCACTCTCTCTCTCAAAGCTGTTATTACGCTCGGCCGTACTCAGGCCCTTGCTAAGTACTCAGGCCCTTGCTAAGTCAAATAAGTTAAGGGGGCCAACTCGTTTTGAACCTTGATAGCTTCGGCTATACTTCTTTAGTTAATCTTAGTTTTAGTTTAATTCTTAGTCTTTTAAGTTCAAGTCCAAGTGCGGGCTTTGCTTGTACACTCCCAGGCGTTAGTTACCATTCTATCTTGTTGTTTCTTGTCACCGAACACAAGCGGTTATTCGCTTTCAGTTCTTAGATTCTTCACTTCCAACATTAACTTAGAATTCCAAAGTGAGGAACTCTTCAACTCTCATAAATTTATAAGATTCATATTTTATTTTGCCATCTTTTTAACTAGAAATTCGTGAACATATCCTTCTAATTTCTCATGATAATTTGTTAAATTTAATAATTATTCTATTTAGGTTCTCTAAAAGAGAGAAAATACATACGGAAGCTCTAACTGAACTGAAATATGATTGTGTTTATAACTTCATGTAAGATCCATTTTTCATCAGGTATTTAGGAGAAGAAGAAATATATTGGGCACCTAGTGCTTAAAATGTTATGATGGGTTATTTGATCTTATGTCCAAAGAAGGCTTTTTAAAGTTAAATCAAAATTACTTTAGAGTTCCAGAAATCTACAAAACGTGTATCTTGACAGTATTAGAGCACTGAATATCTTTTCAGCTTCGGCTCAAATGGAAGGAGAGGCGCATAAAATATATTTGAAAATTTTAAAGAAAAGAAAAGGGAGTAACTGTATCGTGACTCACTAAGTCAAGACTCAGTCCTATCGGCAAGTCTTAATTTATTTTACTTAAAAAAAGGCCTTTAAATATGCACATTTTATGCGACATTCACACGATGTGCAATCGAAAAACACGGGTTTCATTCAAGTATTTATAATGGCCATCGCAACTGTTATTTCATAGGGACAAAGAATATTTTAGGGGTTTAAGTCTTAAGAAATTTGTTTATATTACAGATTACAGGTTTAGTTCTCACGAAAGCTCAATTAAATTTTAAAAAATAATTAATTTTTTCGAATAAAAGAATTGTAAAAACAAATCCCAGAAAAGTAACAAATATTAGGATGTCGTTTCGGCTAATGCCCTATAATACCTAATTTTAGAGACTGCGAATGAATTCACATATTCAATGTCAGTTTTTAGGAAACGTTCGAAGAGTGTAACGGAGAGAGAAATGAGGCTACAAGTAGTTTCTTTTTCTGCAATATAGCAACAAGAATCCAATTGCAACGAAAGTACAGTTATGGTTTAGTACATTCTTCTTTTACCCCAAACGGGCAAATTAAGGAATGTAAGCCGACTGTTTGTAAAAAGTTCGCCTAAATAGCAAATGGTGTCCAAGGTCGATCTCCGTCACAGCTTACCGATTGGCTCCTCCTCTTCAGAACTGAGAATCCAGGGCAGTCGGTTTCTCTTCCGAGCGTCGAGCTCCCGCACTCACTCACATTCACTCATCGACTAGTGATGCTCGAAGCCGCCTCTAATCATTTCTATTGTCAGGATAATAATAACGCACTGGCACAACTGCAGCAGCACATTGCTACAAACAACCGGTATGTGGGTTTGCATATTTTAAATATTTCGCAGGTCTTCAGCTACTTGATGAAAAATGTTTTATTATTTTTTGGCATTTTCATCTCTCTGTTTCTCTTTTTAAAGAGAGTTATCAACCAAAAATTTTTCTGTGCAAATAGAAACTATCTTAATTTAATATACTTTATTTTATCCTATTATATAATGCTCTTTATTATATTTCTTGATCATTTAAATACACAAACTTCGTCAAGGAGTTTAATTTCTCTTAAATAGAAAAAAATCTTAGTTTATTTCCTTGTTTCAGATTTTCCCCTTCATTATGATAAGGTGATTCTATTATTTAAAGCGTTTTTCAAACTACAGAATATCTATAAAAATTAAAAGAATTCATTTTTAAAAATTCCTATCTTGATATCGAGTTTTACCTCTAAAAACACACATAATAAAACTAATTCTTTTTTTTTTTTTTACTAATACATGCTCTCAAATAGTTTCTGATTAGTGAAAGTTTCAGTTAATTATTATTGTCTTTTAAGTAGTTGAATTTATTATGTATTCATTTTCAATTTCAATTTTCCAACTTCATAAAATTAATCCTACTCAGCACTTTTATACCAACTGTTTTAAACCGACCGAGCACAGCATTTTATTTTATTGTTCACAGCGAAATACTTCGGGAATTATATTTGTATTTCCAATTACAATGTATTAACTTCTTTTTTTCATTTAGATGTTCTTTTCTTGTTGTCAACTATGTATTTTAATATAAAAGATTATTTTTACTATACAAAGTTTGTAATATTTCATTGTGCAATTGCACCTACTTCGGGTTTCAAAAGGAATGTTTTTTTTAACAATATTCGGTGTTCATTAATAATAGCTCACTCAGTGACTTTGGAAACTACATAAGCGTTCAAACTGGGAGATAAACAAGCCATTCTAAAATTTAAAATTAAATAAAACTATCAACCTCATCTAAGTGAAGATTTTAAATTGAACTCTATGGATTTCAAGGGCGATGAGACCGAGGTCTCTCTTCTTCAGAATTTTTTTTTCTGCATTTTCGCTTCGCCCTTTTGAAGAAGATTTGCTCCACAAATCGATAGTTTTATTCAAAAGCTCCTCGAAACTAAAGTTTTCCCCCTTAATTTGAATTATATTTGTTTTAGGGTCCTTTATGATATAAAATGCACACTTTGATCTCCTTACTTTTAAGAAATACTTATTGATATACTTTTTTTAACTCTTCAAAAGTACGTGTTGGAGTTCGTTATGCATTTCCTTTTCGTTTGGGAATGTAAAAATGTATTTAATTTTTTTTTTAATTCCAAAATTACAAATAAAATAAATTGCAATTTTATGTTTTTTCCTTACTTCTATATAAAAAACTGAACTTTTCAGTTCCATTGATTGATTATTAAAAGCATTTTAATTTATACTTTTTTAAATACGTGGTCAGCTTAAAATGGTTTGGGTAGCATACATTCCGTGAATATTTTATTTCAGAAATCCTGATGTGATTTTTAATTCGTAAATAAAAGTGTATGTTGAATAATATTTTTTTTACCTACTTCCTAATGCTTGTTTGTACGGTTAAAAGTTCCTCTAATAAAAGTCATAAAATATGTTTAAGAACTCACCGTCCAGACGGGAAAGTGGTTAGTGACTCTGACTAACGAACCGAACGGACCGGGTTCGAATCTCGAAGAAGGTATGGATGTAAATTGTCTGCCCCTTCATAGGAGGCAACAGCTGTCCACTCATTAGGTGTCTCCCATAAATAACTGACTACTACTTCCGGCCTTAGTAGTGACCAACGTCTTTAATACGCTAACTAAACCGCAAAGCGCGCCTTATGTTAAACCCTACAAAATGCAATAAAACGACGTTGGATATTACCTAGCCCAATATCATTCACTCTACGTACATATAGGAAGTGACGATTCAATATAGGTAGCATACCGCCTGTTGAAATCTATGATATCCCAGTATAGTACCGTTCGGATATCTAAGAGTGTTATCAAGCGGATCAAAATGTTTGCGATATGTTAAGATAAAAATAAATCTCGAAATAAATCGAATTAGTTAGATCTTAGTTTCCAGCAAAAATATTTGAGGTTTTAAATTGCTATTCGGTTCGGTAATACAATAAAATACATCCTAATTTAGAATTTTCAAAATGAACATTAGTTTTGATTAAAATTGCAAAGGAAAAAAAAAATTCGGAAATTCGGAGGCGAATTTTCTGTTTTATGAAATGTTATCCAATTTACTGCATCGTTATGAGATGCAGTTACTGGATTAAAATATAGTATAAGGAATATTAGGCAGAACGTTTCTTGTATTCTTCTCTTTTGCATGCACAAGTAATAATAAGACATTTTCGATGCTTTTAAATACGTTAACTTCTCAAGTAAACATATTTATATTTGTTAAACATTTTATTTAAACATTTATTTATAAAGTTTATTTATAGTTTTCAATAAAGTTATCGCGTCTCTAATTTCTCGAATTATCTTAGGTTGTAATACTTTGCTTTCTTGAGGTGAATTTGGTTTAAAGTTCGATTTTTAATTTGGTACCGGCTCCACAAAAGTTCTTAAGTTCTTACCCGTCCTTTACTTTCTCAACTGCTGCTCGTAGACACATACTTCCAATTACAAAAATGATTTAAATTAAGCAAAGATTTATATTTTCGTATTATTAAATAAAGAGGATATAATTTTATATAAAATACGAAATCTAACTTTTTATACGTTCTCCCTATCCCTATATTTAGAACAATTTTGTTCTCATTATAAAAAATAAAAAACAAAATGTTTGACTCACGTACTACAAAAACAGATATATTTGGTATTAAATTCGAGCATCATACTTAGGGGCCGTACAGAAATTGAAAGGACAAATGTCTGCATGTGTCCTTAACTAAAAGTAAAATATCAGTTTAGAAAAAGGTTTCGTATGTTAAGAGGTTTAGTAATTGATCAATGTCCTTTTTTTCTAAATGGAAATCTTATTCCCAGAATCTTATAGAAATCATATTCTAGAAAACACAGACAAGCGTCTGCATTTGCACGCCGCGAACTCGTAATATTATTTGCATTAATTAAAAATGAAAACTCTTTGTAGTTTGAGAATTTTTTTGTACGATTACCAGATTCTAAAGTAATTCTTCGTGAAAATATTAATAACGTGCTTTTAGACTTAAAGTGAAAACTTATAAATTCTTGTGGAGAAATTCTTTTGGCATACCAAATGTAGTAAAATTATAAATTAAATACCCTAATAAATCGCAAAAATTCACCATTTGATTGGTACTTAAGAACGACATAATTAATCTCTAATTTCTCGAATTTATTCATTAACCTCAGTGGAAGCTGAGCATGACGTCAAAAATTTGTAATTAAATAAATTAGTCAATTTTTATCATACAGGACTGTACGGGACGCGTATAAAACTGTATGAATTTCATTTTTTATAAAGAGTAAAAATGTTTCCTAAACAAAGGCCGAAGGAATACATAGAAAAGTTAGATTTTTTAATTTTTATAAAAGTCTTTGCGTCATTTAAAACACTTTTTAACTGAGAGTACAAATATGAAGGCCAGGCTATTGGATACGTCGTATATATTTTGTTTCACTGACATAAATAGATTTTAAAATTCATTTATAGAAGACAGCACATCAGTCTACATAAATTGTATTGAATTATTATCCATTTTGTAATTAGTAATATTTTATTTTAATTGCGCCAAAAAGCACTTCGTCCCAGTTTGCGGTATCTTTGGTAGTATGTTACATACGAATGGAGAAAATATCCATTTTCCGTCTCTGATACGTCTTGTATGCTATATATTGGCTATTTTGTGAGTTATTCACCGACTTTCAAGAATGAAATTCAACAAACCATTTCCTACTGAATATAAGTTCTGTGCCTTAATATACTATTGAAACATGACGTTTCATTTCTCCATTATATATGTACTTAGCCTTCGATTTGGGCAATCAAAATGTATGCCTTCTTTCCTTCCTTAAAGACGTAAGGCGATTGTAAAAATAAGGAAAATACATTCATTTCAGTGCATAATGCTTATACATAAATCGCTTGAAAGTACCAGCACATAAATTTCTCTTCATTAAAAGTATTAGGCAGTAATAAATAATGACCTTCTCCCCCCCTCCGTTGAATTTGATTAACTACTGCTGTTCTTTTCCGTCAGAGCATCTGCCAATGCTTTCTGTAAAATCAAGAGCGCAACGAACATGTCAGTCAAAGTTACGATTAAAAATATTTATTGTTTACGTAAAAATAGTTTTTAATATCTTTATCCACTAACTTAGAAACATATAAACTTAATTCTATAATACGGAATAAAATTATTATTATTTGTTAAAGTTCTTAATTAGAGTGCATATGTAATTAAACATTGTAATTTATGTTTTAATACTTTATAATATTTTCTTCCCTTTTCATTCATACTCAGTCATCGCAAATTATGCTTAAAAAATAATTCAATTAGAAGTACCTTCGCGCCGCTGTTAAATAGTTAGAGGAAGTTATTCTAGGAAATGTTTAACATTCTAAGAAGGAAATATTTGGAAATCGAATTATCTCACTATGATCACATTAGGATTCAAAAAGAGTCCCCAATAAGTGATTCTGATTTCCATTAAGTTTTTCCATTGATCTTGGGTGATAATATATCGCCATAAAATATTCAGTTTTGAAATAGCTTAGGAATAAAGTTTGACTGCAATGTAAAGAACCACGACTTCGACGACTCTTAGTATTGGAAAATACCGAAATAAAAATTTTTACAAATTTCCTCAAAAATTCTTTTTTACAGATATATACTAAAAGAAACATTTGACCCTTGTAAGAGACGGGTATAAAATTTTAAAATATAATTACTGATGCATTGTTGATATCATTTTTTTCCACAGCCTAAATACCGAAGTAAGGATTATTCTCTCCGAGTAGTCAAGCCTCCCATCAATATGTAGAAGATAAGAGTTAG